TTCCACCATGTGTTGCAGGCTGGTCTGTGAACTCCTGACCTCAGGTTAATCCCACGCCACCTCAGCCTCCCAAAGTGCTGGGATTACAGGCGTGAACCACCCGCGCCCCAGCCTGGGCTGTCTTTCTTTCTTTTTCTTAACTTTACTTTTTTTTTTTTTTTGACAGAGTCTTGCTCTGATCCACCACAGCTGGGAGTGCATGGTAAAGAAAAGAAAAGAAAAGAAAAGAGAGCCAGGCTCAGGTTTAAGTCCCTGCTCTGCCTCTTACCAACCACAAGTGGTTGGGGAAAATCTTTACCCTCTCAGAGCTTCAATTTCCTCCCATAAAATGAGATAACACACTCACCTTATAGACTTTCTGTGAGAATCAACGAGAGAATGCAGTTGCAGCCCTGGCATGTGATGGGTACTATAGATATATCTGCTATTTCAGGATTAAGAAACATAATTTCTTTCTAATAGAAAGAGTTGAAAAAGCAGAGTACACAAGAATAACTTAGTAACTTGAAGAGGCAGCAGGGATTAGATTCAGAATCACTTCTGTGTGGTTAAAAAAAATATGGTCTATATTTCGTTGACAATAAATGTCATACCTGTTATACCTAAGGCAGTACATATTCCTCAGGTACACCAGCTGGCTTCCCTGTGCAAACTGCTTCAATCCAAAGAACCAGAAAAGACATGCTGGGGAAGAGGGTCCTCTTATATTTGAAATAAGGTTTTTGCTCCCCAAGGCCTTTTCACATATGTGTCCTTGGAGGCAGGCAGGGGTAAGTGTGTAATGACAGGGTCAAAGCACAGGCCAAGGGATCAGACATCCACCCTCTCCTACCAGTGAGATCGTGAGCGGGTCATTCACTTTTCTTATCTGTACAGTGGAGAAGATGATATCTAGGGTTGCTTATCTGACTTAAAAAGTAAGATGTGAATGTGGTTCTTGGTTGGTGTTCATCATCCAGGAGCCACCTCTTATTCATTTTTCTTTTTTTTTGGTTAGTAACAAGTTTCAATGCATTGTTGTCATAGGGCTGCTGTAAGGATCCTACTGTAAGGATACAGTAAGACCATGTGTGCAAGAATCTCAGCCCAGTACCCAGTGCACAGGAGTCAATGCATAGGACTTAAATGATCAAGACAGCAGCATCTCCATGCTCAGTGTGAGGAGGCTGAGGTTAAACAGCTAGTGACCGGTAGAGGGGGGGTCAGACCCCTGGGACAATCCTGTATCCAAGCATAGGTTTCATGGTGATTTCACCATAACTTTGGCCTGACAGGTAGGATGACCTGTTAGAGGTCCCAAAGTGTGTCAGGAATGCAGTGGGGAACAGCATCTGGTCCTCTGCTCAGTTGTCATTAATCCCTGGGCTGCATGTAGCAACCTGCTCAAATGCTGCAGAGAACTAGCTCATCAAGCCATGAAGGCAATTCAACCACTCAGGGGAAAAAAGGCTTTGGCCTCCTTGTGACATTCCCTGGTAACCTTGCCTCTTGGTCAATCTAACTGACAGCTGGCTGCCATCTACACCATTTTATTGGTGCCTCTGCAATTATTTTGAAATTAAAAAAAAAAACAAAAAAAACTCAGACTCTAAGTTAGAGGATTTTTTTTTTTCTGATAATGAATTCCTTCGCTTTCTACCAAGTCTTAGAAATTGACTTGGACTGTGGACTCCCATCACCGCCTATGAACTTAGATTTGTACTCATTCTTATTTTGGACTAGAATCTTTACAAAGAATGAGCTAAACCTGGAGCTCAGAATTGATCAGGAGAAGTGAGAGGTAGAGCATGAGCATGTGTAAACCAGATAGGTGGGACGGCTGCGGTGTTGAGGCTGACAGAGCTGTTCTTTGAGGGATGGAGAAGGTACCGTCTGGAAGGGAATGGTGTGGCTTTCATAAATGAAGGGCCTCTGACACAGCCTTTATTATACACTGCCCACCTATAGCCAAGAGAGTGGGAATAAATTCTTGCTTTTTATCTTTGGCGATTTCTAAGCATATTGAAAAGAGCAGGGAAGGGGAAGTAGGGCAGATTTCAGAAGAGTCTAAATTTAAAGCCCTGGGACCATTTTTCCGTAGTCACAGAGGTGGGATTTAATGTATCCTGCTCTCAGCTTCAGGATCACATGAAAGATGCTGGGCTGCTCTCCCTAGTGTACATCGTCCACTAACTAGAAATCTGCCCAAGCTGAAGAATTTTGCTAATCTGCGTATCTTGACTTTTTGCCCCAGACATTGTGCAGTTTCAATTTCTCCAGAATCTGTGCACTGTCAACCCATTTCTCCAGTTGCATAGGAGAGCTCTCTGTGCAGTTTCTTTTCTTTTCTTTTTTCTTTTTTTGAGATGGAGTTCACTCTGTCACCCAGGCTAGAGTGCAGTGGTGTGATCTCGGCTCACTGCAACTTCTGTCTCCTGGACTCAAGCGATCCTCCCACCTCAGCCTCCTGAGTAGCTGGGACCACAGATGCGCACCATCATGACCAGCTAATTTTTTGCATTTTTGGTAGATTCAAGGTTTCACCACGTTGCCCAGGCTTTTCTCGAACTCCTGAGCTCAAGCAGTCTGCCCACCTCGGCCTCCCAAAGTGCCGGGATTACAGGCGTGAGCCACTGCGCCTGGCCCTGTGCAGTTTCAGTAAGAATGGTGAGGACTGTGAGCTTCGAACCCAAAGAGAGCAGGCTGAAAATACAGAACCTCATTTAATTGTGGATTATCAATTGTTGAAAGAATTAGGTGCTATGAAGAAAGTCTTTTGAGCTTACCTGCCTCTCGGTCCCTGATACAGTAGTCTGGAGAATTCTCAAAATACACGAGGTCATTTTTTGTTGGCTTCTTAAACCTCTCGTTAGCCACAGTGAAACCTGTGCCATCCTGGTTCATGACTACCTGGATGGCCCCATTGTACTTCCTCCAGAGATAATCGCCCGTTTTCCTGAAGTCGGCCATGGCCAGCCAGCATGTCCTGAGAGTACACGAGCCGCTCACCCCATGGCATTTGCACTCTTGTTTCAAGAACCGCTTTACAGCCTGCCAAAAAAGATAGGGGCAAGTTCAGTGAGGTGGCTTCGAGCAGGTAACACATGCTACAACTACTCTCCTTGCCTCCCAGTAATACAGAAGTCACTCTCAGGATGCTGGATCCCGGGGCGAGTGACTGGGAGATGTTGAAGCATTGCTTGTCGCTTGTTAGCCACATTAGCCACCTGCCCTGACTGCAGCAGGCAGGACAGTGGGTAGAGAGGTGAGGGATAGTGCCTAACTGTGTACCCCACTGGCTAACAGTATAACAGAAACCTCACTATTTAACAGGGCATGTGGCCAGTTTGAAGAGTGAGGGACTGAATTATTTTCTAAATAAACAGAGCTTTATTATAGGAAACATGTATACTATCCAATTAATGCTGTCCAGTTTAAAATAAAATAATATAAAAATGTATGCTATTATGCAAATTAGATTAACAAAATAACTGCTAAGTCCGAATCCTTCAATAAACCAATCATAGTAATTGGTACTACAGCAATCCTGTGCTACTGTATTTATTTTGCCGATGATCGAGAAGCGAGGCTGAGAGAGGTAGAAGCACTCGCCCAAAGTTACACAGCCAGGAAAAGACAGAGCCAGGCTGTACTGCAAAGTCAGTCAGTGACCCTGAGGCTGACAGTAACTTGGGGAGATTCAGCTTAGATGACAGGGGTGGTTTTGCTCTGATCTTTCTTAGAGAGGAAGCAAAGAAACTGGGACAGGCTCATCTCGGCTGGCTCCCAATACGGAGACCCCTTTTCTGTGGGTGCAAGGCCTGTGGAGAGGAGAGGGGACAGGTGGGCCTGAAACTTCCAGGGAAGCTTTGTTTTCATGAGCCAGCAGAACAGCACTTTCCCCAAAGCAATTTGGTGAGCGTTATCCTGCCCTGGCCCATTTTCTCCTTTGCTCACCCAAGTGAAGAGATTATTAGTGCTCATGGTCCTCACAACAACTTTGATCTACTGCTCTTCCCATGTTACAGATGAGGAACCAGGGATGGGGAAGGCAGGTGACTTGCCCAAGCTCCGTAATAGGAATTCACTCCCACTCTCCCCAGGCTGGGCCTTGGCACTAGGTGTTTTTCCCACCTTACCCCCACCTCCATTGTGGATGGTGCACATTTGAAATCTGTCCCCCTCAACACGAGCCAGCCCTGGAGGGCAAGGATGGAGAAGCGAGCAGGAAGCATGTGCTTAGCTTGACTCTCCCAGTTACAGGGAGCCGGGCATCTTTAAAGGATGTCTTAGAATGAACTTCCTCTTTGGAATTACACTGCCCCATGTGCCCCACCCCCATCTTTATATTATGAGGGTTTGGTAGGAGGCTCACAGGATGGCCTGGATGGCAGGCCTCTGCCACAGACACAACCCTGGCAGTGCCATCTTGGCCCTACCACTCTGCCCCACGTGGCTGTCACCTGTCCTGGAGCTGTCCCTCCTAAGATCTTGGAGCGCGCCACACAAAACTCACTCCACACCACGTACTTGGGAATTAAACGTGAATGCTCATTCTTCCAAGTTTATTCTTTCTAAATCTAGATTATTTAATCATAAGTAATACTCCTAGATTTAACAATGACAGGAACTATTACTGCTTCTCCTCTACTTTCTTTCTTTCTTTTTTGAGACAGAATCTCACCCTGCTGCCCAGGCTGGAGTGCAGTGGTGTGACTGTAGCTCACCGCAGCCTTGAACTCCTGGGCTGAAGCAATCCTCCTGCCTCAGCCTCCTGCATAGCTAGGACTACAGGTGCATGCCACCATGCCCAGCTCATTTTAAAAGTTTTGTAGAGATGGGGGTCTCACCATGTTGCTGGGGCTGGTCTGTAAGTCTTGAGTTCAAGCAATCTTCGCATCTCAGCCTCCCAAAATGGTGGGATTATAGGTGTGAGCCAATGCATCTGGTCAGCCCTCCCTTTCTAATATTGAATTTCCAGATCATAAACTTCAAAGCTGATATTTTTATACAATTAATTGAAGAATTTGCATATTAATTGAAAATTGGATCTTAAAAATAACATTATAAATCCTTAAAAAAACATGTGGTGGTGACAGACAGGATCATCTGTGCAACCTTCTCCCTTCCTTGCTAACAGTTTTCGTTCAGGTGTTGGGCAGCCTTGTGTTCCAAAGGACTCCTGACCCCAGAGTAATCTAAATCGCTGATAGTAATTTCACTGTCTTGCCACTAATTTTTTTCCAGCTTGGACCATGTGCTGGTTCAGTTTGGGCCAATCCTGTGATAGGAGAAATCTCTTAGGAGTCTTGTAAAAAAATGTTTCTTCACTCTTTATTTTTTATTTATTTATTTTGTTTTTGAGACTGTGTCTTGCTCTGTCACCAGGCAACTCACTACCGCCTTCGCCTCCCTGGTTCAAGTGATTCTCCTGCCTCAGCCTCCCGAGTAGCTGGGACTACAGGCGTGGGTCACCACGACCAGCTAATTTTTGTATTTTTAGTAGAGACGGGGTTTTACCATGTTGGCCAGGATGATCTCGATCTCTTGACCTTGTGATCTGCCTGCCTCGGCCTCCCAAAGTGCTGGGATTATAGGCGTGAGCCACTGCACCCGGCCATGTTTCTTCACTCTTTAAAAGAGACACGTGAGGTGGGGGCATGGTGGCTTATGCCTGTAATCCCAGCACTTTGGGAGGCTGAGGCAGGAAGATCACTTGATCCCAGGAGTTCAAGAACAGCCCGTTCTCAACATAGTGAGACCCCGTTTCTACAAAATAAACCAGCCAGAGGTGGTGGCACATGCCTATGGTCTCAGCTACTCGGGAGGCTGAGGTGGGAGGATCGCTTGAGTCTGGTGTCCAAGGCTGCAGTGAGCTATGATTACATCACTGTACTCCAGCCTGGGTGACACAGTGAGACCTTGTCTCAAAAATAACATAATAAAATAAAAGAGGCACATAAGGAGAAATACCTTGTCTCTGTCTCTAGATGCTGGTTTCCGTAGCAGCCTCTCTGCAACCTGAGGGCAGCAATGCCGACAGGCAGCAAGCTGCAGGCACACTTGACGGATGTGAAGATCTGGGTTCTGGGGATGCCGCTGAGCTGCTCAATGAGCCCACTTTGGACCTGCCCTACCACCCGACTTTTTGTGATCCAGGTAAGTAAACTTTCCTCCTTTTTTTAGTGCCTTTGGGATCTGTTACATGTAGCAGAAAGTATTTCAGCAGGCACCATGGTCACTTCTTGGTGGTGGATTAATGACAGGCTTTATCTGACAATAAACCTGAGAGAAAATTGAGACAGCATCTCTAGTATTGGGCTTGCTCACGTCTCCAGCATCCACTGTTAACGCACAGTGCGTTCAGTGCTCAATCGCGGTTTGGGGCTACCTTCATCTCTTCTACGTACTGGGTTTGCCGACTTGAAATTCAAACCCTTAACCTTGAAGTGGACAAAAGCGTACTCAGTCGGAGAGGCAGAGGGAAGGGGATGTAAGCCAAGGCAGCCTGTTTTCAAGAGTAACTGAGATAAGAGTAAGGATATGGGGGCAAGAAACTCACAATGAGGATTCCTAGTTTAGAACAACTCCAGTATTCAAATGCTATAACATGGTAACAGTAACAACCACGTATTGAGTGAGTGCTTCACTGTGTGCCAGGCTCCACACCAGGTGGTTTACACACATTATCTAGTTATCTCCATCAGGCAAAGTAAGTTATCATTCCCATTCTATGGTTATGAAAACCAGGGCTCTGTAAGGAAAGGAAAATCCCTAGTCACCCAGCTATTTAGAGGTAGAACAAAGATGTGAATCTCAGATCTGTGCTATTTCTAAAAACACACTTAAAATTCTACTATAAATTACACTGTGATTTTGAATTATGATTTGCATTGTGATTTTGAATTATGCATTCTATTTCCCTCCATCCTTTTTTTTTTTTTTTTTTTTTTTTTGACAGTCTCGCGCTTGTCACCCAGGCTGGAGTGCAATGGTGCGATCTCAGCTCACTGCAACCTCCGCCTCCTGGGTTCAAGCGATTCTCCTGCCTCAGCCTCCCGAGTAGCTGGGATTACAGGTGCATGCCACCATGCCTCGCTATTTTTTGTATTTTTAGTAGACATGGGGTTTCTCCATGTTGGTCAGGCTGGTCCTCAGGTGATCCATCCGCCTCGGACTCCCAAAGTGCTAGGATTACAGGCGTGAGCCACTGTGCCTGGCCCCCTCCGTTCTTTCGAATAATCAAGAATTGACATAAAATATTACATACCTTTTGTAATGGGGCAGAGGAGGAAGAATAGGTAGAGAGAGAAATAATGGGGGATTACATTGCATCTTCCAAACTAATCATTAAAAATTTATTAGACAATTCACAGAAGAAATACAAAGTACTAACAAAAGGACAAAAAGGTGTTTGAGTTCATTAGTAATTGGAGAAATGCAAACTGAAATAATACACTTTTTTGCCTATCAAAAATAGTAAAAATGTCAATCGTTTTTAAAATTTTAATAAAAAAATAGTAAAATAGTAAAAAGACTGATAATGTTTGGTGTTAGAGTCCAGGGGAAGAGATGCTTTAACAAACCATTGGTGGGGGAGTACAGCGATCCATCATTTAAACGAGGAGTGTTTTTGCAATACCTACAAAAATGTTAAATGTACGTATCCTTGACCTTTTGATTCCACTCTGGAAACATCTGCACAAGCTTGGAAGGATACACGCCCACATGGATCTTCATGCAGCTATTGCATAATTAGTAACAGCAAAATATGAGGAAAAACCCAAATGACATCAGCAGGAAAATGGCTAAGCAAATTATGGTATATGCTTAATAATGGAATATTATGTGGTCTCTTAACAATGAAGTAGGTCAGTCTTACAGGCAGGCAAGAAAGTCAAGTGATACGAGCAAAATGCAGAACAATATATGTGGTATGATCCACTTTTTAAAGGCCTGCATATGTGTGTATACTGGCAGAAAAAGGGGAAAAGATGTTCTTTTACAATCTGGCTGCAGTTTGAGGGATTCCATGGTCTCGAAAGAGGGGG